TCAGCATCATTGTGGTTGTATTTTGCATCACACCTTGCCGTGAAAAATTAAAGTAGGGAGTAAATAAAGGGTTAACATTGTAATTCCGACTGCAGCTTTAGCTTAACGGGGTTCAATGGCGATTTGTGAACCCAGATCAATCCTACTGATGGATGATTGCTGATGGCACCGTTAAGTAGAAACCAAGCTGAGAAAAAGAGAATAAAGGTGCATCTGTGGTGCCGTTGGTGACAAACATGCGACCACCCTGAAAGGGTAATTGTGGTTCGATCTAGCCTAGGGTCAATTTTTTGCGTATATCTCGGGATCATTGTGGTTGTATTTCTCTGTAATTTGAAACTATAATGCATTTACAGAAAATTCCAGAAATTTTTCATTTGAAGTCGCACAGCTTACTCTTTGTCGTAACTGTTGCTCAACTTAATTACTAAAAAAGCTATGTTAGTTGGTATATCATTTTTATTCTAACGTCTCGACGTCTTCATCTTTATCAGAGCCGATGATCCGAGTCGATGGTCCATGCTTGTTATTCGTCTCGACGTGGCAGCTTCGCCTTCGTGTCGAGTCAGGTCTTCCCCAGCGGGCCATCTCCTCGAATGAGGCGTACTCACTCAGTGACGCCCTTTTGTGCAAGATCCTGATGGTTGAAAGTAGTGATTGTCTTGTAATAGTAACTTGTTTTTCCAGATATTCATTCCTGCAGAAGTCGGTATCATTATCAGCTAGAAAAGAGCAATAACAATATTTCAATATGTTGCAATTCCACTATTAAATCCCCTTCACAAACTTCAGTTTCGGTTCATCATTTTTGGATCATTAATGAATGCAGGCGGTCGAGCGAAACTGAGATCCATCAGTTGCGTCTGTCGTTGTTTGTAGGCACCTAGAATTTTATTTGTTTTTTTTAGAAATTTCGCTCTATGTCCATCGTGTCACAAAGCGTTTCAGTGCAATGCAGTCAAATGCGAAAAAAAGTGTATACCCGTCCTGATTTCTTTATGTAAGTTGTAGAGCACTATCTTTGAATGAAATCCTTTTTATACCTTTTTATTTTCTGCCTACTATAATTTCGCGGCAGGGTACTAAACGAAATACAACCACAACGTTGCTGAGATATTTGCAAAACTCTGGACCGCAGGTGTCTATGGTGGGGAACGAACACGCTATTGTCCTTTCCGGGGAGTAGCGCGTTCACCACCACACCATGCGGGTCCTTTGTTTCGCCTGTCGCGCTATCCGACTCGATGTGACTTTCAGCAACAAAAATCGACGAAGACATTGGTTTAGTGAGCAGCTGACTTGAATATACGCGTCTTCAAAAGAGCGGTACTGCTCAGACCCCAGTCAGAGTGAATGATTTACCACGCTTATGTTTCTTTATATGTAAACGGAGATAAATGAATTGACTCTGTATTTGTAAAGTAGCACATGTACGGCAGTGGTGGAGGTGGACTGCAGTATACTCAAGAATGGTTGTCGACCCAATCGGGCATCTCATGCTTCTCAATCCTTCCACTTTTTCTAAGCAAGCAAATCAGTAGGTGATAAAATCTAGTAGATAAATGCCAAAGGAATTGCCGAAGACTAGACAATTTGGCTCTTATATCTTAGAAAACGACTTTCACTAAACTACACCATAAATAACCAAAACTTTCCCAGATTATTAAGCTAACACGATGTTGGTAAAAATGATTTGCTGCACAAACGCTTCGACGTCTTCGCCTCCTTCAAACTCGAAATGATAAGAGCCGTTCGACTACGTGTGCGGCTGTCCGTTGTCGCATCGAGTCAAATCCAGTGAGCTGGACCAACGCTTGAACGAAGAACGTAGCTCATCGGTGTCCTATTATGCAGGATGGATGCTGATCTAGTGCCACCACCCAGTATGATCTGGTTCATGGCGAACAACACGTCGTGCAAAAGTCGGTGTTAGCTTATAGCTTGGCAATGTCTTTAAAAAACAACTTTCACTACAGCTTTCTTTAGCACTTATCGTTTATGTAAGCTTACCAGTTTTATTAACTGTGACTGTAATAGCCCTGGGGCAGACTTTGGCCAGGCCGTCCTCGGAATTCCAGGAAACCACAATGGCTTAACCAGCAAGTCTTCGAAAATGGTGATTATGCTGGGGCCCGCACAGCTAGCGATGACGAGCCGTTCAAGTATCAAATTCAAATAGGTTTGTAATAACCACCAAAAAAACCCCAACAGACAGCAATGTAGTAGAATCTAGATACTCCCTTATGACAGCTAGAAACCATCTCATTGGTTAATAGGTAATTGTTCAGTAAAATTATATTTTGCGTTGAGTGATAGGGGTCCACAGAAGCGATTTGAAATAGAAGTCAACCTTAAATTCCACCGTTCGTTTTCGCTTAGGTAGGTGCTGAAATGCGATGACGTACAACACACGGTGTAGAGATCAGAAGAGGAAGGGAAAAAGAAAAGTAACCAACCCAATGATGATGTGAACACACTATTAAACACACATATCATGGCGTTGGGTAGATTGTTTTAAATAGAATCCGCAGAAATTCCATTTTATGTGGATGGGTTTGAATTACGCAATGCCAGTGATTGCTGTGAACTATTATGGTGGCATGTTTCGAACAGCATTATTATTTACTGCGATTGAATGATATTACCAGAATGCGGTTTATGGTGGGACGGCTAGATTATATAGGAATACCAAATAGTTAAGATGATTCGGTCGGAATTTGCTGCTCGCCTTTGTGTATGCCACTTCTTGTAAGTAGTAGTCACAATGCCGGAAACCTCAAACTTGGGTAATTAAACCGTTTATCATAATTATACAACAATCATAACAATACAACTCTACAATTAATGTAACAATGATCCTGGTTATGAGTAGGCGCAGCCTGATCACTGGTGTTCAGGTTGCTTATGAGTGAAGAGATTGGCATAACAGTACAACAGTATAATTAATGCAACGATGATACGAGTAATGAATAGACGCAGCCTGATCACTGGTGTTCAGGTTGCTTGTGAGTGAAGAGATTGGCATAACACTTTTACTACATGAGATGGATGTGACGCACGAATGCGGTGACTTGGGCAGCATTGCTGTGACATGAGCTAGCTAACCGTGGAGCCGTTTATATACCTTTGCGCTGGGCGGAGTCAGATTACAGTAGGCGGAGTTGGGCTACAGTAGGCAAAAAGACGGGTGCTGGAAACATTTCACAAGCCTTGCGATCTGATAGGGCGATATTCAAAGCCTAGGACCGTAAGTGCAGATATTTTACGAGATAGGCGCCAGCGAAATGTTAGACATACGGCTATCAGATCGTCATAGAGAAAAGGTCATGGGAGAAGCATTTGAAATGTTTGGAAAGGTTATAATTGATTTACATAGAGAACATTCCAATATTCGTGAAGAATGTTCTCTATACGGTTTATGAACTCAAAACTCACACTATTTTCATTTTTTACAGATTTACAGCGAATGCAAGCGGTCAAATGAAACTGAAAGTATGACGTTGATCATCTACGGCGAAGTCATCTCGCTTACTACCAACATAGAATGCTTTAGGACAACACGGCTAAATTCGTGTTCGAATAAAATGCATACGCTTGTAGGTGCGGTATTTTTACTGGTTTTGTCAGGTTGGTTATACAACACTATATTTAGAGGAGTACTTCTTTTACGACTTTTTTAGTTCCTTGTGGGGTACTTGACAAGTTGCACAAGCAGCTTAAATAAAATGATAGAAAACCAAGGTCGAGCTAAAGCAGTCCGTTAACTAGCAGAAACTCCTTTCATTTCTTGCAAATTGTTATACTTTGTATAGTAGGCGTGGACTTTCCCAGGTACCGAAACGATCATCGTTGAGTGAAGTTAAGCAAAAGCGAGTCACCTCATCAAGCTCTACAGCCTCACGAGGATCGTTTTCAAAAACATCGGCGTGCTTAGAAATGTCGAAATTGAAACACTTGGAGAAAGCTGCGAAACAATCAAAGACACCAGTTGTGACTAAGAAAAAAGTCGCTCATATTCACAACTCTTTCGAAACGCTGAAGAAGCTCGCAAGTGCGACCAGCAGTCTGCATTGTGCTTCAAACACTCACCATTCTGATACCTTCGCGAGTCATGCTAGAACAATTATTTCCCTTTTTCGTTTCTCTGTGTTGTATCCGTCATTCATGGATGAGGTAGAGTTGGTGGGTGGGTTCAGCTGCACCGAGAGGACATTCCGCTGACGCCCTCATTGACGGGTTCAATAACGATCGGAGCCAGTTTTCTGTGTAATCGCTAAAGTCTGCTATTGGCATGCTTGGGCGTCTTCGGGTCTTCAGCATCAATATTTTCTGGCTCTTATGGCTCGTAGAGTCGCTGCCTTACGTCTACCATTCCTCTTGCAGTAGAGCCATTTCTCTAATTAACCGGCTGGTTGGGTCGATATAAAAGATGAATGAAAAACAAATAATCTCCATCTAAATGCTTAGTTCAATAATGGATTTAGTTTAATTAATATTCTATTCTATATTTGAATACATATGTTTCCTTAGCAACAGCCATCGTTAATATATTTGTGCCAATGTCGTAAAAACTTTTCTTATTACAACAAGTAAACCTCCGGGGTGAAGGTTCAAAGAAGATTAGCATAAAACGAGAAGAAGAAACTCCGGACGCAATTGGGGAAGTGGTCCAAAAAGGCGCTAAGGTAAGTAGGAAGCGAAGAATAGATAAATACAACGAAAGGAAAGACAGAAAAAGGGAAAAGGGGTTAACAAGAAAAGAGAGGCGATAGGGCACCAGAGCGTGAACGAAGGGTGAAAATTAGGAAAACGAATTGGCTTATATCTAGAAGTGAATAGGAAGAGCCTCTAAGAAAATTCTACTCCAATAACATGAAACGGGCAAATACCAAAGCACAACGATTACAAACGATAGAGTGCATGATGACAATGTTCAAAGCCAATCATTGAAATGATACGATATTCATGAAAAGCTTTTCTTTCTGAAGGAAGGTCCCACCATGGACGACGATCCAAGTGACCAATCCAATTTGGCAAAAGAAACAGAAGGAGAAAAGCAAAAAGAAAGAGAAATGGAAAAAACGGACGTTAATTTGGAAGCACCAGAAGGAGATACTCAAGAGAAGTCATTTATCAAATCAAAGACTATTTCCAACAATATGTATGGTAGGTAATCAATATTTATTCGTGTAAAACCTGTTGAATGAAGGAATAAAGATTTTGTGAAAAAAATGTAGAATAAGACAGCATAAACTCCGACTTTCTAAAAAAAAAAAGAGCGCGAAGTGCCATAATTTCGAAAACAGCTGCTTTTGAACCTTTTTCACTACGCTGCTAATAGGTATACCACTTAAACCATGGAAACCAAGGGCCCAGACTACTTGGATGAGTAATGTGCAAATTGCAAGCGAAAAAAATCGGATTCACTGTGCCAGCAGGTCGTCCGTGATCACAGGACTCTCGTTCATGAGGTTCATCTTTGGGTAACTGGGATTTATCCAAAAAATTTCGAAACCTTTACTCACAGGTGTTTTGGATTTCTGTGCAAGGATAGTGACTTTTACTTTGTGTCCTTTGTGTGTCTGGTGAAGGACTTTGCGTGTTAGTTGGCCAGTGGATTAGGGAGTTGGTCGGCTTGGTCTTTTGTCCGCCAACTGTACGTAGAATGCTCGACTTTGCATGAATTCGCCACGCGGGACTTTTCTCCGTAACTGGCTTGAACATCCTCGAGTTTGGATATAACAGTTTATAGCAACAATAGCGATACAATAATAATGTGTGATATTTGACGATATGTAAGCTGGGTGGATACGAGCGAGATTGGAATAGGAACAAGTGATACACTTAAAAAAAGCAAGACGGACACTGGAGTTGGAGCACTGAGAAATTGAAGGACCGAAAGAAGACCGGACGAACGCGGCTAACACTTCAGGTCGAGTGCCTATGGGCGCCTGTATTACTTCTGTAGTGGGTGGAGCTTTGCCAGAGAGAACTAAAGACAGCGCCCAGATAGAGGTTCTAAAAGTTTTTCTGCTAGCACAATTTGATAAGGCTATATGTGGAAGGGTGCGGGTGTTTCTTCGGAAACTTTTTGGGACGACATATGCTGAAAAGTACATTCAGCTGACTGCTGCTGATTCCCTTTCCAGCCACCTGCGAGGCAATTGCACGAAATGGTTGCTAAGAGACGATTTACAGAATATGCAAGAATAGATGTATGACGATTACAAATAGACAGGTATTGTAGGAGGCATAAGGTAACATACAAATAGGAACTATTTAAGATTAGTTGTTACACTTTGTTTCATTTTAAATTTTCCATCTAGATGCACCTTTATGTGGACACCGAGTGTTCTATTTGGCTCAATGATGCATTTGCCCCATTATTTACAAGAGATTAGGTACACAGCATCGGAATGCATTCACTCACCGCCTCTACTGCTAAGGCAATTTTGCGTTGCACACCAGCCATATATAAAGCAAACGTGGATAAAAAATGCTTAGACAGTTCGTTTGCACAAATAGTGGGACCTCATAGCAATCTCCATTCGTTCGATACTTTGTCTGCTGAGTAGGGTTTTTCTTAGTTGTTCCGTTTAGGTTTTTTCGGATATGTCTCCATATGCAGTCATGGCCAGCCACCATCGGTGCGCTGGGGTACGATTTCTCCAGAGGCAACAAATCGTGGTACAACTTCTGCACCAACAAATCCATCAAATGAACTCGCTCCTAGTGTGTACTAGTTACCCAAAAATAGGAATCGTTGTTGTACGTACACGTTCGATGCGGAAACAAAGCGATCGGCAATCTGAAAAGCCACGACGGTGCAGGTGTTCACGGGCTCGATCCGGCCACTGAGCCACCTGAGGGTTCACGCCTGCTCCCTTGCGGGCCTGTACCTTGCACTCCTCCTTGACCGCCCGGAACACGCGGCACTCTGGTAGCTCATCTCGGCGACGCGACGCTTGAGTCGGATGAATTCTGCGGCTGCCGCGGGACTCCTCCCCTCACTCCATCCAAGAGGATCTGCTGCTCAGACGCTGGCTCACAAGCACCCACCACGGCGCCCAGTGGCACAGAAAAAATGCTATCGATATATGTGCGCCATAGTCGGAGAGAATGTGTGGCTGGGTAGAACTCTGCTTTATAAAATATATAAAATGAGAGTAAGTAAACAGTGACATCGGAAGAGAGACAATAAAAGTTATAGGAGTCAAGAAGAGTCGAGGATTTATCGCTTTTATTCTGCAGATTTTAACGGTTTTCACTAAATTCTGTTGATGATAATTGGTGTATGGGTCTACGAACTCAAAATGCTGCACTTAACCCATTACGCTGTTGAAATCAGTGTCCTGATAATAAATCCTGTTTAAGTCATCTAAGTATAGGCTTAAATACTTTCGTCTCCTATTTTTTTCTGAAATTCGAGTTGTTAGCGCCGAAAAAAACTGCGAATGTCACAGGGTTGTCGAAACAGTTTGTTGCTTTGCCAGGTCTTTGTGGTGATTCGAGATGGATGACCACCCTAGGAAGCTATCGGGTTCACAGTCCATCACATCGGCAAGATTTTTATGATTTTTTGTAATGTAGGACATTTCATGGTGAAGAAAAGGTTTCAAACGGGAGCGAAAATTAAAGCACTATGCGTTCTGTGTTCATCAAGCGCTCGCTGCGCGGAATCGAACTAGCGGTCCATCCGTTGTGCACGGCAGGGCACCTCTAGCCACTGCGCACACATGCCGCCGACCATAATTTTTTTTGCTTGTTTTACAAGACTCGTTTCCACATCTACTATGCCGATCCCAGCACTTCTTGCATTCTATTGATTTTCTTCGCATCCGTTATCCACGAGGACCTGCAAAGTTTTCGCTAGTGAATGTGGCTGCTGCTTCATGATTATCGTCTTTTCAAGGAATTTCGCAGTGGTTAGTGATGCCGTCGATAACGAAACAAAGACACTAAGTCGACCTCCTTCCCCGCTCTCTTCTCGAACGCACATGGGAACGGCTTTGACTGGCTATCTCCAATATTGGAAGAAGAATCGACTCGAAGACAAAATCCTCATGTAAGAGCTGAAACGACAAGTGGAATATTCGAAGGCTTTCGTAGATCATGAATACGAGAAAAACGAATCCAATGCAGGAAGTACTGGGATCTGCACAGTAGATGTTATAGTAGGTCATGCAGAATATAAAGTGTGAAGGAAGTGATTCAATCATTTAATGCGTGCACCAGTAATGAAAATGACCACTCTGATTATATTTACCACCATACGGCTACAAGAACCCAAAAATCGTTGTTTTTCACCAACATCCTTAGTTGTTAGCAAAGATTAATGCAGTTTTCATTTTCCCTGCTGTGACGAAATGATACGCTGATGACTGTCGGTATAGCAACCGCCGTCTCTCATCGTGAACGCCTCCCCACTCCACCATTTAACCGCCTACGTAACACTAACCACTGAACGCACTGCTGTATTCGTCGTCCCCAGAATCATTACCAGCCATCACCATCATCATCGTCATCATCGTCACTACGTACAATGGCGCCTAACGGAAAAATGGTAGAGTGAAGTGTGATGTTCTTTGATTTAGCCGGTCTAAAAGTTCAGTATTTGGGTCTGATTAGTCCCTATGACAAATTGAACACCATCTCGTCAAAGCGTAGTGAAGCACAGAGAGAGAGAGAGAGAGAGAGAGAAGAAAGAAAAGCGAGAATAAGGAAGAGAGCGATGACGAAAATTAGTGAGAAGTTAATCGCCTAAGTCCATGCTTAATGGTTTCAAATCTTAAGTAATTCTCCATTTATCCTCGTATTGCTCTTCTTTGTTATCCAATTATTGAATGAGTATTGTTTATGGCAGAATCTGAGAGACTCAGCGTAAAAAAGCACGATCCGCAATAAATGGAAGTCAAGCAGTAAATCTCGCTGTAACCGTCAATAATGGAAATTGTACAGCTCAACAAACTTGTTAAAGGGATAAATAGTACAAACTTTCTGCATCTCTGAAGAACAATACGATAATTGGTGTGATGTCGAAACCACAAAGTGAATAGACAGCATTCTTTTTTTAAAATTTTCTTTGACAGCGTTTCGCAATCGGATTGAAAAGAGTGATATTTTCGACTCGAATATTATTTAATCAACGAAAATATTTTGGGCTTGGACTGTAGATGTAATACCTTAGCAAGAAACGACTTTCATATAATGGTTATAACAATGGACTTAATTCATATTAGGCCTAGGCTTAGGAAAAGAAAACCACATCTTTCGAAGTTAAGAAAACAACGTTATGTCGATCGATAGTTTCTAAAACTATTCGTAAAGGGTATCTTTAGAAACGTCTACATCTATTTCCATGTACACCACAAGAACACGCGCCACAAGCACAAACACACGCCGTACATACATTACATACATACGCACATACATGCCTACATACATACATACATACATACATATACATATGTATAGACAATACAGTATTAAAATTCTGCATATGCTGTATTCATGTGATCGTTGCAGCGCGAGATTGTCTCGCTTCATGTCGGTCAGGCAGGTGTTCAAATTGGCAATGCTTGTTGGGAGTTGTACTGTTTGGAACATGGAATCCAGGCAAGCACTGATGTCCAAATTTTTTTATAACTCAGCTTATCTTGAAAGTTGAAAATGAACGGGCTCGAATAATCTCATCGGTAGTGCGTTGGCGGTTCGTTGTCATTTCGACAATGTTTCAGTGCGCCCAAGTATGTACCACGAAATTTGATAAATCCTTATTACATGAAACAGAACAAATAGAAAGTTATCTTTTATTGTTCATAATGAAACATGGTGTGAAGGCGAGGGTAGCGCCGTTTTACAGGCACCCTATAATACACGTGTGACCACCTGTTAGATCTCACATCCTGTGTTTACCAATCCTTTCGTCTCTCCGGGGTCAGCAAATAGGTACCAGATTTATCTGCGAAGTTAAAAACAATAGCTTGATACAACTGTAAACAACCATGAGTCATTGTTTAGGCGAGTTATGCATTCATTGACCTCTAAGGATGTCTGACGGCGTCGAATTCATTTCGCGTTCTCAGAGATCGGTCAGCTCTAAGAGCTTCATTCTTTATATTTTTTGATTAACTCGGCGCATGTAGAACTAATGTATCCAATCCTTCATATAATAAGCTACAGCTATTCAGTAATTATGGAGCATCATACTTATTAGAAGGAATTTCTTGAAGAGATATCCTCGGCTGCGCTTTGAACGTTGTCTAGGTAAACTTACTTAATACTTGTTACTTGAATGGCCCAACCTCACTGCTTGCACAGTCCCCAGCATAATCTCTACTTTTCGGAAATTTGCTGGCTAAGCCATTGTGGTTCCCGAGAACCCAGAAGTCAGTCTGGCCAAAGTGTGTCCCAGGTGTTCACCACTACAAGCAGTCGCAGCCCTTGTTGCTGAGAGAGAGATTTGCTAGCATGCGATTTTGATACCAGGACGGTGGTGAATCCTGGTATTGGTTAACTATCAGCTGGGCTTCATGATGGAAACGCCGGACTCCTTCTCAGGACCTGCCAGTTGATGAATCTACCGTTGTACATCGCAGTCCAACACCCAGTAAGATCTCCTAGCCATGATGAAGCGGTAAACTGTTGGAAGGATAGGCAAACGGAGCCTGCCAGAAGAATGTTTCGCAACTTCTCATATTGAAACCAGTGAGATGAAATTGCCAATGTGGAATTCGATCACAATCAGAACTTAAAACTACCATTAACACCCATTACGGGCCAATGAACTATTTGGGGATTTACTGTACAAATTCTTCTTCGAATCATTTTATTCACCACTTATAATAGCTTGTTTTAAGCCTGATGGTATCATGCCGGCCGACCAGACTGTAGGAGTCGAGGACTCTTCCTATAACACATTCTTCTCAGAGACCCAAAGTGGTTAGTTTAGTTAACTGAATAGGACTGTGAGTAGAGAGGAAAGATTTTCTTGGCACTAATAATATGCCACGACCGACTTTCTATTAACCTCGGCATTGATCAAGTGATATTCTTCGTATTCTTGTTGAGCAAACGCGAGGTGTTATTATTCTTTGTTCACGATTAAGCTGACGTTTCGGCGGATTTCGCCTTCCTCAGAGCCTGGAAAGGTCAAGTTGATAGCAACTCACTCGGCCAGACGCCTCCATAACCAAACAAAGAAACCCCAAACCAAGATTTCAATCACTTTGAACACAGTTTTGTATGTCACGTAGAGACCAACCGCACAGAAATCATGTGGAAGTATAATGTGCCCCTCACATCAGAAAAG